ACATGATTTCTTCGTAATCTTCTGATGTAAACCTAGGGTGTCTGTTTTGCCATGCTGCATTCCCACCGCAGCCTTAGTGGTAGGGAAACTGAGACACAGCAGCTGACTGCATTTACCAGCCTCTACCTCTCCAAATGCTCAGTCGTAACCTCAGCACAGCCATCCCATGCCAGAAGCTGCTCTTCAGGGCAGGCAAGGGGTGGAAAAGGAGAATGTGTGAAGCTCAGTACCTCCACTCGGAGGAACTGCAACAGCAGGATTAAAGGGATCAATGGGCTCATGTGCATCTAGGTCTGCATGGGGAGCTGCAGGGGAAAAAGGAGGAGCTACCAAGGCATGAAGACTTCTATAGTGGTTGTGAGAACATAGACATATAAAAAAATATTTCGAGTGGAAGAGTTGAAGACTATAAAAAAGAGTATACAAGTGAAGTTATTACAGGACAAAGGGATAGAGAGGTGGCTACTGCCTGATGCTGGTAAACGGTACGGTTTCACCCACGTCTTTCCTTTGCTCCCCTTAGATAAACAATCAGTATTAACTGGATTTTCTTTTTTTCTTGTTACTGATTTTTATAGTCTGCAGCCACAGTCACCATTTAATCTGAGCAAAGCCGCCCTCTTAGAATGTCTTTTTTTATATTGGCACTTCAAGTTAAAAATCTATTTTAAATTATTGGATAGCAAGTAGCAGCCTCCAGAGGGCTAAACTGATGCTGTTAACAGGTCCAAAATGTGATGCAGCATATGGAGCTGAATACCTCATGTTACAGATTTGCATGCAGGCGGTTTTAATTAGGATTTAGAATTCCTGGAGGAATGCAGCATTCTGGGCTAGTCTCAATCTTGTCAATACATAGTGGTTTTGTTCATGCTAAAGCTCACAATAACTGATAGGTTCCTACTTGTTTGTAATTTTTGAGACTTGAATGATCTGTAAAACTTTTTTCCAACTACCAGCTTTGTGTATGATCATTACCTCTATGTGTATACTTACTGTAAAAATTACTGTCTTTTTTTTATAATAATTGTATGCCAGGTCAGTTCAAAATAAAAATAGTTTGAAGTTTATTTTTTCCTTGTATCACTTCATAGTTCAAAGTGAGAATATGCTTTAATTTGATGGTTACAAGATGGTGCCATCTTGTGAGGAAAACGTGCAACTGCCTCCAGCTAATGCAAGGAAGAGGTAGTTTGGCTGATGTCCATCTCATTTTTTCTTTGTCACGAAAAATAAAATTATTTAGCATTTCAAAAAACAGATGAGGATAATACTGTAAAACATATTTGTTCCACTGCATTTTACTTTCTTTTTTTTTTTTCTTTTTATAAAATGAACATGTATTCCCTCCAATGGACAAAAAACTGATGCTTTCAATAAGCTGAGACAAGAAATCATAGTCTTTTTTCTCTCTCTCCTAAAAAAAATAACTTCTTGTTGTATTAAATGGAAAATCTATGCAAATTCTCAGTATTCAGTGCTGATTACATTTTTTCTGTGAACCAATTTGACTCTTACAGGAAATCTCATCTTCTAAAATTCACTATGTGTTTCTCCAAGAAAGCACACTGTAACTTACCCAAAGCACTGCGAGAAAATTAAATTACAATGTTAGCAACAAACATACAACTTTATTTTTAAATAGTAATAATTGTTATAACTATTAAAGTCAGTGTAGTTGCACTTGATCCTGAACTTAGAAGAGTAGACTGGGAAAATCTCCTAAGTTCTACTACTGCTTAATTAACTGATTTTCTTTGTGACCTTGAGCAAGTTGATGTATTTCTGTGCCTAAATTTACCCACCTTTAGATGATGCACATCAACAGGATGTTATCAGACTTGACTACCACTTGTCTTTGCGCTTCTTGGATGAAAGGTATTGCTGTGATATAGTGTCAAGCTTCTTAGAAATCTACTTGATAAGCAAAAGAGCAAGTAATTCACAATAAGTATAATTATTCAATAATTTAAGCTTCCTAATCTACTTCCACAGTCTTGGCAAGCAGATTGTGATTTCTTCCATTTTATATAATGAGAAGAGAATTTTTCTTCTTTATACTCTATAGATTGATTGCAAATATTCAGAATTCAAGCTGTGTTGCTCATTTGCAATCAGTTGGATGAGTAACATTATTTCTACTCATGATTGGATGAATGCCCAATGACTTGTGTGTGCAAATTGTAAAGTTTGTTTTCTGAAGATGCTCATTGGTATGACATTGAAATTTGCTGCCTTTGAAGAGCAGTGACAGTAAAATTCAACACAATGAAGACCAAAGAAAAGACTGACCACCAAAGGAAGACAAGGTGACATTAAGATTTTTTAATGGGACTTTGCGGATTAAATGGTTGTCTGAATGGCCCAAGTCCCTTATGATTTTAGTTTTTGTTGTTTGCTGATACTGTGAATGGTTTGGGTTGGAAGGGACCTTAATCTAATTCCAACCCCCCTGCTAAGGGCAGGGACGCATTCTTCAAAGCCCCATCCAACCTGGTCTTGGAGACCTCCAGGGATGGGGCATCCATGACTTCTCCGGGTAAATCCAGTCTATTGAGTTCTGAATCTAATATCATGCACAAATTGGGTGATGCTTGAACCCTGTTCAAAGGTAGCTCCCATGACAAGGTTGCAGCAGATGACTAGCAGTGGGGCTAGCATACATGGGAGTTGCAAAACAGCTCAAATCCCGGTTCGAGATAAAAGTCAAGTGAGTGTGAAATAAGAAGTAGTGTTGGGACCCGGTTGCATATGTTGTCTGTTTCCAGATTGCAATGGGACAACTGGATTTGTAAGAGGTCACTGTTTCATGTGGGAAATTTTCTGCAGAAATTCCTTTCCCTCTGGTCTCAAAGTTATATGGATTACATGAAGCCTCACAGCTTCTAAGGTGCAGAAGTCCAGCCCCTCCTGAAGAGGACTGTAAAAGAGAAATAGTATTCAAGACTTGAAATGCTGATGTGTAAGAGCTAAAACTAGTGGCATTGCTATTGTTTCCTGAGACAAAACATAATATGGTAGCCAGAGTATTTTTATCACACTGGCTTTGAAGAGAGATTGGGAGCAGAATCCACACATGAATGGGTTATCCTCTCATAGTGTGTTGCAGTACCTTTTTTCCACCATTAATATCTATCAACTGTATCCACTATAAAATTTCAGCTGAGTGAAAAGCACTGCCTCTTTTTTGCCTGTGGGTCTGTTGCATATGTCAGGGTTTTTTCTAGTAGGTCAAGATTCTTTAGACCAGGATTCACTGATTGCTCTTATTTCACAGGACGCTGTAGAGCCTTGTGACTCCTAAAACACTCTTTGCTCCCTCCTTTTGCAGCCCTTCTACTGCAAGCAGAAGTAACGTGTGATGTATTGGAGTGTGGTCCAGCCAAAAAGCCATGTAGAGAAGAATAGGGACATGTGCTTCTAGATGGCAAGTTCACTCAGACCACATTCAGCAGCTTAGGATACGGGTCAATTCCAACTGATATAAAATACAATGTTCTGTTTGCATTTTCTGCACAGCAAACAGATGGCAACTGCAAAAAAAAAATTACTGAGGACTTTTTAAAAAAAAACCAGCTCCCTTCAGCCCAAAATTGAATGACAAATTCCCAGCTATCTTAACTTGCTGTCAATCTGTAAAGGTAGGTTGTAAGAACATCTGTATTTCCACGCCAGTGCAGTAGTCTGGCTATTGTAACTTGAGAACTACCTTTGTTGAAATTTAAGGCTTTTGACCGTTATGTCCTGCTGGATTCATGTCTTCAGTCCTATCTAGCTGACACCTCTTTGGCAATCACAGCCTTAGAAATGCTCCTTTAGAGAGTACGATGTGAAGAGCAGTGATGCTGTAATAATCTCACACTGTAGAGAGAATGATCTCTTATAGAAGTGCATGCTCATAGTAAAAATTCACAGTAACACACTCCATTCCCCCATTATAGGTAATTACAGAGGATTTTAAATATCTGATGCTAGCTGGCAGTGTACAATACCCTGTCAGCAGCAGGCTCTGATTTGTAATTTAATTATCATAAGACATCCACCTGTTCTTTTGTCAAATGAAGAGTAGCATTTCCGTGCAATCATGCTTTTCCCTCCAAAAATCTGAACTGACCCTTAGAGAAAGGTTTCTAGGGAATGGGGTAATTTCAAGGACATTTGCAGGACCTCATCAGGGCAGGGTAATTGAGACTAATGATGCATTTCTACAGGAGAGTCTTAATTCTGGTTTGATATTTTCATCCTTACCACTGGCTTTTTGCTGTGTCAAACCATTTTGGTTCACAGCTGAAAGCATTTCAGTGAAGAGATGCTGTGGGAGGAAAGATGTATGAAAATCAATGGGTTTGGTGCTAAGAACATGAGGCAAACTCATAACAGGATTGACCCAGAAATGTTCTAGGCTCATAACTTGTGAAGAAAGAGAAAGCTGTGCTTGGGGTGGGAGGGAGACAAAAGCGAATGAGAAAGTGGAAATCTGTTCTGTAAACTTTCCAGTTTATGGCCCATGAACATGGATATTACTGAATTTGTCCTAGCAATATGCAGTTATTGGATAAATAGATCAATTCAAATTATAAAGGAAGTCTACCAGCAGAGATCCATGCAAGTGTTCTGCTTTTCAGGAGCACAGGACTCAGGGTGAATTAATTTCCTCTGGGGTTTGGCTCCCATTTATGCGACAACTACGCTGCAGTGTGGTGATGGGGAAGGGGCTAACTGCTGGTCAAAGAGATGTTCTCTCTTTAAGACCACATCACACTGCTTCTCGTGATGTAAAGCTACATGGATGATCTGGACAGAATAGCATATATGTTTTGTAAATATTTTATATATATATATAAATATATATAAATAAGCATACAATGTCATAGAATGAATCATAGATTCATAGAGCAGTTTGGGTTGGAAGGGACCTTAAAGGTCATCTAGTTCCAACCCCCTGCCATGGGCAGGGATGATATCTGTTAGATCAACCAATGTGATCACCTTAACCCATCGCCTTATACTTTGACTTGTTGAACTTCATGAGGTTCTTGTGGTCCCACTTCTCAAGTTTGTCCAGGTCCTTCTGGATGGCATCCCTTCCTTCTATTGTGTCAACTGCACTGCTCAGTTTTGTGTCACCTGCAAATTTGCCAAGGGTGTACTTGATCTCACTGTCTTTGTCATTGATAAAGATATTGAAGAGCAGCAGTCCCAAGACAGAGCCCTGAGAGACACCACTCATCACTGTCCTCTGCCTCAAAATAGAGCCATTAACCACAACTCTCATTCTGCCAATTCCTTATCCACTGAATGGTCTCCCAAACAGATTAGGAAATATGATAATTATTGTCTACTGCTTGATACTTTGTTATTCTGTAATTATATTAACACATATGAATTGTCTCCTCAAAGCTTATTTGTTCTTCCTTTCTATTTTTTTTTGTCTAGAAATATCGTTATCAAGATGAGGATGCTCCACATGATCATACTTTGCCTCGTTTAACCCACGAAGTGAGAGGCCCAGAGCTTGTTCACGTGTCAGAGAAGAACTTGTCTCAAATAGAGAATGTCCATGGATATGTGTTACAGTCGCACATTTCTCCTTTGAAGGTAGGATCGATACTGCCCGCGGCTTTGGTCCTCAAATATGAGAAAACATGTAGCATGAAATGCTTGGGAAACTTATTTTGTTGTACAAACAGACAAGCTGTTTTTTGAAACGTGTCATTGCAGATTGATTGTCCTGTGATGGGTTTTTAAGGCTTGCTGTAGTGTAACAGGTATAGTTGACAAAGCTTTGTGCTGAGATGTGAGCTTTTTGCTTTGAGTGGGGTTTTTGCTTGAGCAAAAATAATTCCTGGCAAATGAGCCTATTTTTCTCTACATTGGGAAAGGAATAATGCAGGTTCTCGGCCTCAATATCATGGTGATTTTGAAATGGTAGACTTCTCTTCCTGATTATCCTCGTTTCCTTGTTCAGAAACTGAAAAAATATTATAAATGTATCCGTCTGATGGAATCCTAGTTTTTTCATCTCTCAAAAAGCTGTATCAAAGTCACAAGTTATGCCTGAAAAAGGAGCTCATTTGCCACTATTCATATCCTTATTGCTCAAGCACTTGCTATTTTCTGTGAAGTTTGATGCAATTCAGAGTGCTGTAGAGATATCTTTCTTTTAATTAAGCCAACTATTTATAAAATATAGAAGCTTTTTCTGTACGTGTGTCTGGTGTCCTCTAATATATCTTCTTCTGCAAAAATGTTCATCTTCTGGTGAACCTGTATAACAACCAAAAAGAAATCCCTTTCCAAAAACTTACATTTGCTCTTTCATAAGACTGTAATAGTTTGAAAATATTCCTAAAATTTCTCTAATGGAAGGAACATAAATGCAGTGATGAGCATAATGAATTTCCTATTTTATTTTCTGCTAGGCCTGGGAAGGGGAAAAAAAGAAGAATATTTTTTACTAGAGGCAGTAACGTTCTTGGTAATGGTTTTATTCCAGCAATTAACTAAGCAGCAAACAAGGCAGATGGGCTTTGCTCCTTCTGGTGCTCAAAGCCTGTGAAATGGGCATTGCTTGCCTAATGGAGTGTTTACAGCATGGTTACAAGTGAAAAGAAATGTTTATTATTAAAGATTGATGTGAATACAGCTGGTGTTTATTGAGCCTTCATGGAATAGCCATGTGAATTAATCTTTGTCCTCTGCTCTTGTTGGTCCTGTGTTTAGTTTGCATATTGTTTGTCTTTTCTTGTTTTAGCAGCTTTCTGGGTTACTTACCTAGCTTCTACTGCAGAAGCCAACAGTACCAAGCAATGATATATCTTATGCTGAGGTTATGACTTTAGTTATTTGGAAGCAACTACCTCCACGGGGCCTCTGTGTAACATCAGGGGACAATCACAGACAAAGCAATTTCTTGCCTGGAAGGGAAACATCCCTGTTCCTCTAGGACTTCTTTAGTATTATGATTACAGTGGTGAAAGTAAAAAATAGATATTTTTCTTTACATTTTGAGACTTTCAAGTAAGTTTATATAATCCAAGCTGGGGGTATAGCAGTGATGATAAAAAGCTCATTGGGAAGTGAGGGGAAAGGTATCCCCAGACACTTACAGTTCCCTTAAAACAGCTCCCAGTCTAATTTGCTATTGTTACAGGAGAAAGTTGTCTGCTTCTGTTTTCTGAAGTGATGGGAAGAGAGGAACCATATAGTATTTCCTCTTGGAAATCAGTGTCTTCTGCAAGTTCTCTCCTCAGTCTGAGGATTTTTATCTTTGACCCTGTCCCTTTCCTTTCCTTCAGATTCAAAGTGTCTCATGTCTGCCACTTAATAGTATTTCATGCCTGCCATTTAATCTAAATTTAGCAATTTGTCTCTTCAAATGGCTTTGAAGTTCCTGCTTTCTATCCTCTGCAGTCTATGTCACATCATTTAACCTTCAGTAGAGAATTACGCCAGAAGCTGGAGAAAACCTGCTAGAGCTTGTGGCACTGTGGTGCCCTTCCTATCTGAAATATCTACTTTGGATTCACTTCTGTTTCTGGGAGTTGACTGAAATCCCTGTTCAGAAGCTTTTTATCATAATGATTTCCACATAGTTGAGAAACAGCATTTCAGTACTCCAAAATCTAGTCAGAATTGGTTAACATCTTCAATTACAGACTTTCCATCCTATGATATCATTGAGTAAAAGCCCAGGAGTTCCTTTGTTCAGGATTCCTCAGCTCAGGCTGTTTCTGTGTTACTGCAATGTGAATAAATTGCTTTATGGAACAAGATATCTGAGACTCTACTATGGGAAACCTGGGGTCAAACCAGTAAGGAAACCTGCTCTGCCTATGTGTGAGTGTGCAGGGGTGTGCAGGGGGTCAAGCAGAAGCACCCATTGGAGCTGGAGCTGCCTGCTGTGAGGGGGTTCCAGTCCCAGCAGTGAAAGTCTCTCGCACTGGGAGTGTGACTGCCAGAGAGTCTCATGAACGTTCAGATCAAAGTGCGAAGTTTCCTTGACACCAAAACAGGGATCACATTATCTCCTGTGCGCCCAGTTTTTAGTGGCTGCATGATGACCCAATGACAGGATGATTAGCCCAATATTTCTGTGTGAAATAATATCATAAAAGAAAAATGTTTGAGCATAAAAATATTCTAGTTAAGATGCTTTGGAACCCAAGTGTTGTCCCAAGACCAAGTCACATGTCCATCTCAATCCCATCACTTTTCCTAAGTGACCGACTTTGGAAGAAGAAAGAGTTGCTTGTTTCTACATATTTGTGTTCATTTGGAAAGAAATCTGCAAAGATCATAAAATCATAAAGCTTCCCTTTGGGATGGCTGATTCCAGCCTCCTGCAACTGATCAGTGCCCACAGCCATCTCTGGAAGCCATAGGTGTTATACCTTGTCAGTACATGTAGACTGCTTGCTATCATCACCCTGCTCCCACGTTTTCAGTGAGCATGTCCATTTCTGTCCATAAACCAACTTATCAGCTTGAGGAAATGTTTGCATCATTAGTTACAAATTTTGAGGATGGTTGAAGTTCAGGCAGAAAAACCACGGGCCTGTCCAAGTAAAACATTCCAAGGATTCTTGAAACATTTTCTAACACTCAGGTTGGAAGTATTCAGGCCATCTTTTTTTATCATACGTGATTCAAAATGCCTGATATGGACCAAGTTGCATAAAAACAAAGTATCCTAAATTTTATATCAAGTTGAAGTACACAGACTTTTAAAGAATTTGACTGTAATTTCATATTCCAGCTTATGTGGTTTGATGTAGTCCAGAAATACCCTAGTGGAAGTTATAATTATTGGATTATTAGATTGGATATTAGGAAGAAATTCTATACTGTAAGATGGTGAGAGACTGGCACAGGTTGCCTAGTTGTGGCTGCCCCATCCCTGGAAGTGTTCAAGGCCATGCTGGATGGGGCTTTGAGCAACTTGCTCTAGTATAAGTTGTCACTGCCCATGGCAGGGGGGTTGGAACTGGATGATCCTTAATATGATCACTTCCAACTCAACCAATCTATGATTCTATGATTCTATGATTATGGATTACTTCAGAAGGGCTTTTTGGGAAAGCAAAATATAAAAATAATTTTCTTTAACAACTTTGCACTAATTATATATGCTGAATAATAAGAAATCCCATCCTCAGGCATTCTGAAAAGCTCTTTGAGACACACAGATACTGATTATGAGAAATACTGTTTCGAAATGTGAATAGATTTGCTGAAATTAAAGTTTGATTTTTTTTCTTCCAAGTGCCTAAAATCTAGTGTGCACTAGCCAGATTACTCCCTTTCAGAAGACAATAACGAGTAAGAGCAGTTGTGCTAAAAAACAGATCCTCTTTTCTCTGTGTTTTTTACTTCTGCAACTGATGTGTATTTTGCATTAACTTTGTTTTTTACTCTCTGTAGCATTTCATGTACACTCAAATCAGTACTGGAAAATGTTTAAATTTAGAAAGCTTCAAACTTCTGTTAAAGGTTGATCTGCTTATTAGTGTGGAGAAGATAATATTTTCAACTGCTTAAGCAACTGTGAATGTCAAACACTGAAGCTGTAAAGGAAGTTTTCAGTTACATGGCTGTATTAACATTTGGGAAAATGCTAATATTGGAGAAGTTTTGTTAGAGCTGCCATATTAAGATGATAAATGTTCTTTGCAACTCACGGAGATGATGAAATTGTGTTTTATTATTAATCTGTTAAAGGAAAAAGTATGCAGTGTAATGAAAAGAGTTTAAAATAATTTTCTTGCACTTCCCGTCGTTTGACACGAGATGGTGCAGTAAGCTTAGAATCCTTTGGTCTGCATCTATAAAGCTTCATTATGTACTACGGAGGTTTTTCTTAAATGGCTTAGAAAGTGCTAATTCAGTAAAAACTGCTTTGTGAATCTCTGGTGTTTTAGGAAATCTGAATTCAACACAACTGTACCTGACGTCTGTACTCAGACGTGCAAGTTCTGTCTACAAATTAAATGTGCACCTCTTCCCCTTCATCCTAGGAATAGAGCTAATCAGTGTTCATTAAATGAATTATAACTCTGTCTCCTAAATGAACCTTATTAGTATTATTGTGATGTTAGATTTGCTTTTGCTTTTTAAGTATATTCCACTTCTTTTAGATAAGCCGAAAAGTAAAAATCCCTGTAAGAATCTTGTATCTCCTTGGTTGTCAGAACATTTTAAATATCAGGCTATTCCAGGTATCTTCATTTCCTAATTTAATGCCAGGTTTGACTGTAAGTGTCAATGACAG